TTGTATTTGAAGTTGATTACAATAAGTGTAGGAATAACTGGTGCAGTGATTTGAAAGATATATTACACCAACTAGAGCTGGATTACTATTTCGAGTCAAAGCTTATAGTAAATATAAATATGGTCCAATCAAAAATACACAATTATTACTCAAACCTTTGGAGCAATGAGATTTTAAGCATTCCCAAACTGTGGACCTATGTTAATTTTAAAACAACGTTTGGTAGGGAAAATTATGTAGTACTTGATTTGCCAAAATATTTACGTTTAATTTTAGCACAATTTAGATGCGGCATTTTACCTTTACGAATAGAAACAGGTAGATATCATGGTGCATCTGTTGAGGATCGAATTTGCACACTTTGCTTTAGAAATAATTTGAAAGACGAAATTCATTTTTTACTGCATTGTCCTTTATACTCTAAATATCGATCAAAACTTTTTGAAAACACTGGTTTTAATCAAATGGGGTGGTCAGATATGGATTTACTATGTGTACTTATTTCAAATTATTCTAGACAGGTTGCGAAGTACTTGTAATTTTCACGTATGCGAAGACAGTCCTTTATGTTCAGAAAATAAAAATGTATTTCAATGTCATTTTCAACTACCAATAATCCTTATAACAGACACTACCAATCTTACCATACAAAATGTATATATATATATATATATCTATCACAATTATGTTTATTTTTCATGCACTTTTTTGTTATTCTCTTAACATTGTGCTCCTTATTTTCTTTATATACATGTATTGTGTTTCAATTTTGTATTTAAAGTGGCATATAGGCCCGATGGGCCGGGTGTTGATTGTTATTTTATACAGTCTGTAAACAAAAGAATTTAATTGTACACATGTCACTATAAATAAATAAATTACTTACTTACTTACTTACTTCTCCGTCTGAATAAAATTCAATGAGACTTTCACAGAATCCTGTTTTATAGTTCGATATATGATTGTGACCTTCTATTTCACTTTTTGATCTGACACTTATTTCGTGTCTCCCAAAGCAAAACATTTACTTTGATTTTACCATTTGGTGATCTCATTGCTCACAGTAAACTCTAGTTCTTTGTTATAGAAAAATTGCCATATATATGCCTTTTAAATGCCACGATTCACTCCGTTGAATACCCAAATCAACAAGGTAAATCGTGCCACAAAATTGTGCAAGATCAATACAAAATGGCGTTCTCTTTGGAAACGTACACGAAAGACGAAAAATTCATAAATTACATCACTCTGGTGGTTGCCATAAAGTTTACTCATGAGGGATTACAAGATATAGTGAAGAAGTCCATAAATGATATTTATGTGAAGTTATCTTCCAGGTGTTCTGGAAAATTACCCTGTGATAGCAACTGCTCAAAGAGTCATGGCTCAAGATTTAATGATTGGTGCTCATCTTGTTCAAAATGGAGGAATGAATTATGTCCGTTCATGAGATACCCAGGCCATGTAAATCGAGTTCAGTGGGAAAATTTTGAATCGAGTTCCTGGGGCCGAGATAGCAAACCGTCTACGATTAATCAAATTGCAAACGTCTTTGTGCATAATTGTAAAGATCCAACTTTGCCTTGTACTAGAGAACTATCTAGCATTGTTTCATTATTCCAAAACTGTAATTATTTTGAAATAGGCAAGAATAAAGACTTGATGCAAAGGATGCGTAATGTGCGAAACGAGCATTTTGCCCACAATAGTAATACATGTACGGTAAATGAAGAAGATTTGATATTGTGTTTAGACACATTATTGGATTGTCTCGATCACAGGTCCATTCGTATAAATCAGAGTTGCAAGGAAGCTGTAAAAATAATTACAGATTTAAAATTGAAAAATCAGAGATTAAAATGTACTGTGGTTGCACAATTATTAAATAATTGCAACAGCAACTCTCTGGATAAACACAAGACAATTCAAAATTTCTTGAAATATAACTTAGGAGCTGAGTACAGAGGAGGCCAAGAACATTGTAAAAAGCTAAAAAGAATTTGTGTTTTTACATTGGGATTCATTTTCGTAAATCTTTTTATCTTTTTGAATATTTCAAACCTCAAATGGAGTAAAGAGAAAGACAACCATTCTTTAGAGATTCAAAAAGGTAACTCAAAACAAATGAGAGAGTGTGCGTGAGATAAATTGCCATCGACCCTTTAATTTGAAGAACCTCAAAAATATGAAAAGCTATTGAATTTAAAAATTTCTTAAACAAATATTTTGAAAAAATATCAATTCATAGAGGGAAAGAAAGAGAGAATAATATTTGAGATTGAAACGTATTTTTCTCTTTTTTCGTAGATTGTAAAACCATGGACTTTTCATTTCCTTGGCAGAGTGACTTGAACTTTGATTACTTTATAAAGATTCACGAGCACTTTGTCGGGAGGGAATGGCTCATCAAAGATTTAGCATATAAACTGTTGAATACGGAAGAAAGAGGTGTTCTGCTTGCAGCCGAAATGGGTTTTGGCAAAACTGCACTTGTTTCTCATATTTCGTGTAGCAGTAGTAAGCATTCCTCAGCTTTTCCTATATACAAAAATTTAGTAGGTATACATTTATGCAGATATGACTCTGAATCAACATTGAAGCCAGGTGTATTTGTGCTCAATATGGCTGGTGTTCTTGCTCAAATACTACCTGAATTCGGAAACATTATACAAACAGATAATATGGCAAACGAGTACCTCTCTAGTAAGAAATGCATCGAGGAACCATATGGTTGTTTTGATTTTGGCATTTTGAATCCCCTTCGCAGAACAAAACTCGAGTCCAAAAGCTTAATATTCATTGTTGATGCCCTAGATGAGTGCATTGAAAATGGCTCTAAAATATTTTTTCATTACTAAGTGAGAAAGCTCATCTCTTGCCATTTCAGTTTAAATTTTTATTTACATCTAGAAATATTTCACACATACGAGATAATCTTCCCCCAGGAATCCTTATTTACCACAATCCTCTATTTTGGGAAAAAAATTTGGAAGATATTAAGAAATTTATTAAGAGAAGGTTAGATAATGTCACGGTAAATGAACAAATTGTAAATCTTTTATCTAGTTCAGACCTTGATAATAATGTAAAAAGACTTGCAGACCATGTGAATGGAAATTTTTTATTTCTGGTTCATGCTTTTGATTTTTGGGTTAGAGTTGGTGATATGGAAGAATTTCCTAAAAACGTAAAACACATATATCGATTAAATTTGAAACGAGTATTTGGAAAACCTGAAAATATGTTTGGGAAAGTACGTTCAATTTTTGAAATTTTATGTGCCTCGCATGGATCTATAAAAGAAGAGACTCTATTTCAAATTTTAGACATTCGTGATATTCACACAATATCAGTATTTTCCCGCTTTATTTCCAATGAGCTGTCCCACTTCCTCAAGAAAACCTCTGACAAAATTGGGTTTTCTCACAAAAGGATTGCTGATTTCTTTTCCAAACAGGACAAAATGGACAATGAATTTTATGTTTCTAAACAAAACGGCCATCAAATAATATCTCAGTATTGGCTAAGTCGACTAAATGAAACTAATATAGTCGTTAAAGGATCAGAAATGATTGAAATATTTAGACACGTGGCCAATTCCATGAATGAAACACTCAAATATCAATTGACAGATGTTGTTCCACACAGCATAAACGATTCTGAACATAAAAGTTTATTGCATTATACAGCAGCATCAACAAATTCATATCAAACCATGCAATTAGTTATACACTCCTTATCTAGATCTAATATTGACGAGAGGGATTCTGGGAATTTAACAGCATCTTATGTTGCTGCTGCTTATGACAATGAAGAATCCCTTCTAGCTTTAATCGAAAGTGGGGCAAATGTCAATTTTATACGACCACATCAAGCTTTCAGCAGATTTCCACTCGAGAAAGACCTTATTTCCCTTTGCAAGTATGATACGCACTGGGGCTACAGTCTTTTAAATATCGCCTCTCAAAATGGACATACAGGTGTGGTAAAACTTCTCATGGAGTATAACGTATATATCTGTCATGCAAATACTATAGGTCTGAACTCTTTTCATTTGGCATCCGAACAAGGTCATGTTCCAATACTTACTCTTCTCATGTCATCGAAAGATTGTGACTGGACGTCTAGCTTCAATCACTCGTTATATCTTGCTGCCAAAAATGGACACGTTAGTGTTGTCAAATACCTTCTCGCTCATAATGCAACTGACTACTGTTTACCTTGTAATAATTCCATTTACTGGGTACCAAGAGGAAAAGAAAGATTACAAAGTAGGGACCCAAGACTACTTTTCGAAAGAGATGATAAATATTATATTCTAAGTGATGACCAGCGTTTACTATTTTGTGAGACTGCCTTAGACATTGCAGTTCAAAACAATCATTTAGAGGTTGTTAAGGTCTTAATGAAGGAGAAGATTAATGCCTTAAAATGCACAAATGCGCGAGGAATGACTCCAATAATGACTTCAGCAGCATTCGATCAAAAAGATATTCTTCTTTATTTCATAAAGTTTGGGCTTCCTCTAAATGATACATGCAAAACTGTTCATTACAGAAAATATATAAAGGACTCTAAATTCTGTTCTAAAGGAATGACACTTTGGCATATGGTTGCAATTTACTACCGAATTGTTTAAAGGTATATCACTTGGATAGACACATATGATTTCTATTGTGGAATTAAATATCAGCCTCTGAGACTTTGGGTTTAGTTCGCAAGCTAAAGGACACATGATAAAATATGAGAGAACAGTTATACTGCATAAAACTTGAATTTCTGGTACTTTTTATATTAATAATATTTTCAAAAGTTGATTTTAAAAATAAGATTAGCTAATGATTAGAATATACTACTTACCAAAATCTCCATCTACATAAGAAAAATATTATGTACATCACTGAAGCTACATGTACGTATATGAGAAAATATTTATTTAAAAATCTCTCTCTCTCTCTCTCTCTCTCTCTCTCTCTCTCTCTCTCTCTCTCTGCTAGCTTACCTTCGTCAGAAGGACTACTATATATTACTGCCAGCACCACCACTGCTGATATTCCTACTACCACACAAATAATGGCCACCACAGGCTTGAGAGTCTGAAATAAAATTAATCTCAATAATTAATATCTTGATAGAGTGTTTATGTACATGTATAGCTGCATGATAATTCTTTTATAAATATACCAAAATATCTAGGAGAGGACACGCTTCTACATATTAACCTTTTGTGTAGAATCACAGAATAATCATTAGTTTACTTACGTTAATAGCCCTGGCTCTTGTTTTGTTGTTTGACTTTTCATCTTCATCTCTGTCCATGAAGTCCATATTCTGAAAATAAATGTAATGTGAATTAATGTTGACTGTTTAATGATGCCAATATCATTGGAAATATTCCTTCAAGCTTTTTATTTCTTTCAATAACTACCAGAATGTATAAAAGGCTTTATCACTAACGTTGACAAAACTTTGGACATACGAGGGCTTTTCAATAAAAAATGTCTTCGATGCTCGATAAGAAATAGTTTAAAAAACGCTTTTAAATGATTTAGTCTAGATGACTTCAGTTAGATATTCTCTTTTAATCAAAACACATGTCTGGAACATGTTTATCAAGTTTCGGATTGTTTTAGAACACATTTAAAATTGAGTATGGCCCTTCGTTTACTGGGATATGGCAGATCCTATGATTCCCGGGACTTGTTTCTTCTTTCAGATAGTTTTTTAAGTTTGGAAAATAAAAAAAGCGAAAAGGTGAAAGATCAGGCCTGGGAGCCATACTACGAGCTCTTTTTTTTTTTTTTATCTCAGTGTCACTTTTCCACTATATATTCCTTTAGTAAAAGTGAGACTGAGATCAAAAGTGAGCTCGTCTAAGTTTTATGGCCCCAGGCCTGGCGAGTATTGTTAATTGGTGTGACAAAACAATAACTTTCTGTTTATCCCCAAAATTTCTATCCTCTTCATGGCGTGTGGTTTTGGACGTTGTCGTGAAGAACTTACAATGTAGTAGATTCCTGATTCTGGTTCCATCCTTTCATAATCCTTTCGATTTTTGCAAAAAATTGCTTTCTAGACTTTTCCAGAAACTGAACTGTCTCCCCGAATAGGAATTTGAACAACAAGACCCCTAACATTAAAAAAAAAACATATAAAACTGTGTTTGTGCTTTTGCAACTCCTTCTCAGACCTTGGCTATTTTAGCTGTCAAGTGCATCTTATTGTTATTTTTTTTAGGCTTTCAAGCAAAGGATTCAAGTTTCATTATCGGTTTGATGTTCAGACAAACATGGTTAACTACCATTTTTGAATTACTCAGTATTTAGATTAATTGTTAAGATATTATTTCATGCGGTTGTTTTCACTCTTTTTTTCAAAACAGAAGGTGACCATTGAGTACTAAGCTTTTTTTTATTATTATTTTCAGATGTTTCTTTAAAACAGTGTACACTACCCCTCAAAATGATGCCTACAAGTTTTGCTAGGTGTCTTAAAGTCAATCAAACATCACAAGTGATAATTTGTTGAATTTGGGCGGCAAACAGTACATTGGTTGATGTAAGTCTTTATCGCCAAGGACGGTACCCATTTTGATACCCATTATATAATTTTATTTTTGTTCCTGGAATTCCACCTGCTCAGGTGTCTATAAAACAGACATTGGTTGCTGTAAATTTCACACATTTCAGTAAAAATTTCTTCTTAAATTCTTAGATTCCTAACGAGATTTACAGCAGCTTTACTGAAGCTTTTAATTCACTCTAGTTTACTGAGTCTTTACCATTCATTTTTAATGCATTGTCTCAAATAGCCCTTGTTTTCCAACTTCTCACACCGAAACTATTCGATGAAAAGTGGTCAAATAAAAGTAAGCAATTAATTCATAGATTATTGATCAATTCTTTTTATTGATCTTAAACGACAAGAAAGACTTTAAAAATTATATTTTATAAACTGTATATACATATTTGTATTAGCATTTTGAAAAAAAACAACAACAAATTATTCTGTCTTAAGGTATTATGACTATCATTAAATTGAATTCCTTTTCATGACAATATGTTACATGTTGGCATCATTTTTTACACAATCGAATGAAAACTCAAAGAAAAATTTCTACAGGGACTCTTTACCACCATTACCTTTTTTGCTCTCTGACCAGTAGGGCTAATGTAATGGGATTATATGTTACCTTGAAATATGTAATTAACACAGTATTGTACATACCTGAAAAGTGTCCATAATTTACTCTCTTGATATTAAACCCTGTGTGGCAGTTCTCCCGATATCTGCAGTGTTAGGAAATACCACATGTCTTATTGTACAAGATTTCACAGTTATATTCTTAATGACAGGTTTCTTTACATGATGTATCAGATTACTACATTCGCAAAAAGGACTTTAAACATGTTAAATGAAAGTTATTCTCTCTATTTATACAAAAATTTCTAAAATAAATACTCTCCCTCCTTTATACGAAGAGGTATTAAGTGCTTCAAATAGAATTTCGAACACATAGCTATACCTGTAAGTGAAAAAAAGATTGCAGAACTATATAGGTTCCTCAATGAAATCTGATATTAAAGCTTGATTAAAAAGTTCTACAACTTTACAAAACATAGGTAATCAGAGATTACAGAGCTCACCTCAACGAATGTTGTCTTTAAGTAAGGCAAAGTCACACAATTAACCAACAAAAAGTGTACAAAAATGAAAATATTCATGCAATTTTGATCTGATACTTTGAAATAGACCTATATAAAAAATTCAAACTAGTTCTTCTTCATGAAAATGTAACTAAACTCCAGCATCTGAAGCAAATTTGAGAGTTTTCATCCCTTGATGCATCATTTGTGCAAGTTTGGTTTATACAATGTTATATAAGCCTTAAAGCATTTTGGTAATTGACCTGCACCCATAACTTTTACCTGGTCCATTATCTGAAAAATGTATGTTGAATTCAACATCCGAAGCAAGTCCATTAGTGTGCATCCTAAGATGTATCGTCCATGCAAGTCTGGTCATTAAAGAACTCATAGTTACTTGGAAATGAATCATGCACCAAAAACTTTAACCTGTTCACTCAACCAGAAAATGTAGGTCAGATTCAGCATCTGAAGCAAGCCTAGTAGGATGCATCCTTAGACGTATCATCCATGCAAGTTAAGTCATCATAGGGCTCATAGTATATTAGAAATGAGACCTTCACCAAAAACTTTAACCTGTTTACTCAACCTGAAAACGTAGGTCAGATTCAGCATCCAAAGCAAGTCCATTAGTGTGCATCCTAAGATGTATCGTCCATGCAAGTTTGGTCATTATAGTGCTCATAGTTACTTGGAAATGAGACCTTCACCAAAAACTTTAACCTGTTCACTCAACCGGAAAATGTAGGTCAGATTCAGCATCCGAAGCAAGCCTGGTAGTATGCATCCTTAGATGTATCATCCATGCAAGTTTGGTCAAATTAGGGCTTATAGTTACTTGGAAATGAAACCTGCACCAAAAACTTTAACCTGTTCACTCAACCGGAAAATGTAGGTCAGATTCAGCATCCGAAACAAGCCTGGTAGTATGCATCCTTAGATGTATCATCCATGCAAGTTTGGTCATTATAGTGCTCATAGTTACTTGGAAATGAGACCTTCACAAAAACTTTAACCTGTTCACTCAACCGGAAAATGTAGGTCAGATTCAGCATCCAAAGCAAGTCCATTATTGTGCATCCTAAGATGTATCGTCCATGCAAGTTTGGTCATTATAGTGCTCATAGTTACTTGGAAATGAGACCTTCACCAAAAACTTTAACCTGTTCACTCAACCGGAAAATGTAGGTCAGATTCAGCATCCGAAGCAAGCCCAGTAGTGTGCATCCTTAGATGTATCATCCATGCAAGTTTGGTCAACATAGGGTTTATAGTTCCTTGGAAATGAGACCTACACCAGAAAGTGCACCAAAAATGTTAACCTGCTCCAAAAACATTAACCTGGTCATTCCTCTGCTGAAATTGCAGCATCTGAAACTTTGACTGGTACAATGAAACACACTAGAAGGATCTTCCATGCATGTCTATTCAATATAGGACACAGAAGTATTTAAAAAGAAAACTGCTCCAAAAAACTTAACCTGGGACGCCGACACCGACACCGACGCAGACGCCGACGCCGACACCGAGGGTATTACATAAGCTCCCCCAACTTCGTTGAGGTGAGCTAAAAAAGGGAAAGTAATGTTTTGATGGCATTTCTTGTACAAAAAATTCTCATTTAGCACAGAAGTATTCTTATCAATATTACCGAAATATTTAGTAAATTAAAAAAACGTCATACCTATAATTAAATGTATGTTATATATTTTTATTTATCAATTTTATTGAAATTTTAAATAAATAAAAAAAATACGTCATACCTTTAATGATTATAGTAAATGTATGCCTTTTTAATTTATCAAAAAATTCGAAATTCGGTAAAATTGAAAGGTACAGGTACACCTCTGCATCGACTTTCCAATGGAACAACATTAGGTAATGTGTAACTAAATAGCAACATGGAATACAATCTTGTTTTATCCTAAAAATCACTTTTTTTTCGCGAGAACTTTATTTTAGCATTCTTATGCGATACAGTGTGCTCGCGAAAATTTACAAGATTCTATAGAGCAATATAACCACATTTCGTGACAATTTTGTCTCGCTTATATCAAGAGTAAATGACGATCTTGCAAAAATAAGGTGTCGCAAATATTTAGTGATCTACAGTATATATATTGGAGTGAATCTTTTGTGAGTCTAAACTGAAGCATTGAACTAAAGCACTTTAAGAATTTTTGTGTCTGTAATAAGAACTTCTAAAACCAGGTAACTAGAAGCTAATACAGTTGAAAATGAGCAAAATCTATTGGACTGCAGATTATATTTTTCAGTCATAATGATATGCATAAAGTAATCAAATGTCATTTAACAGATTCAAAAATTAACAGGTATTTTTCGGAAAGTCTGACTGACTGATATCTAAATTGACATCAAAAATGCATTGCCAAAAAGAAAATAAATTTGTAACATACCTTTTAAGAAATGTTTATATACATACCTGATTAAAATCCGATATATATGAGGGGATACAGTTAAGTTTTTTGTGATCTGTATGTAGTTTAAAGAATAAAAACCTGCTTATAAATGGAGTTTTTTCATGGAGTTGTAAAGGGACAAATGCACGTAAACGATACGTATCGAAATACTAGAGCTCTTTCTGCAAGTGAAACATTACATAACATGTCTTTTTGTGCATTCATTTTATCAAAGATTTAAAGCTTTACATTATCTTTCATACCTCTATTGTATTTTTGCATAGTGTTTTTAAATCTGTATTTTAATCAAAACATGACTCGCAACTGTGATTTCGTTCACAATACATATTGTCTTCAAAACAATAACAAGGACCTAACATTATATCCTTTGAACGAAGGCTCCTTTACATATATATATTTTTTTTGGCAAGGGGACCCCGGAAGTTAAACCAAAGAAAAGTGTTTTTAATACTGAAGTAATAAATTCTATTTTATTTTATCGAGAACCAATGAAAATAATATTACGTGAACCTCTCTACTTCTAGTTCCAAACGCGTCAAACCCGAGATGGGGTGGAATGGGAGCTAGGGGGCATAGCTTTTTTGAACAGTTATTTTTGAATCATTTTTGTACAGTTGGGCCATTGTAAGCATTTAATGGCGGGCCAACGGCAGTTTGCTCATCGGTTTTCAACAAAAACAAAACACAAATAATTATGTAGTTATATTTTTATCAGATTGAAAAAGACACACACTCATACCCGGAGCACTAAAATGAAAATTCTTGACGTTACCCGACGTCAAAAGCATAATACGAATACATGTAACTTTTCTCAACATAGTCACTCACCGTTAAACTTATTACGTTTTTTATATCGCTTTAACCAGTCATATATACTGTATATATGTGCACAAAATGTTCAGGTTTCATACGTAAAATAATATTTAATAATGCCTGTCTCATTACTTGCAATTATACAACCTCTGTCCGCGAAAAAATGATTTTATTTACGGAAATACGGCAAAGTCACGATACGAAATTCATTTTTTACAGCACAGCAATTTCGGAATGATGGTTTTCCTTCACGCATGTCATCCCATAAACTGTTCCTTCCGTTCGAAAATATTATCGTACGTTGGCAGTATAAAACGTGCTAGGCAAGACTATACTTGTAGATTCATTGTTGATTCATGATAAGTTACATCTAATTTACTAGGTAGGCATAAGTAGTATAATATAAGAGAGCATTTTTGAAGATTGTAAAGGAATCTTAAAACAACAACTTAACTCCTAGGCTTTACTTTCTCCGAAAACGATAAAAAGGGGGAGGGTTAACACCCGTCTTCAAGTAATCAATACAGATACTTTGATAAGATAAGATACTTCTTTGACATTTTCGAGTCTTTTTCATGATTTTAACGACATTATTGTTCTGTATCATTCATTTTATGAGGGCAAGAATTTTCACAAATAAAAGTTTCAATAGAACTAGAGTTAAGGTATATATTGCTTTGACACGTCATGATTTCAAAAGAACGCAAAATATCTTTTATTTTATTGATCTGATTACTTACTCATGATCACATGGTTGTTATATGAAGTCAAAGATGGCTTCAATACAAATCTGACCGTTAAATCTTCAAAATATAAAATTGATGTTTGAAATTAAATTACATCGTTTCTAAATCGTTATAATTCAATGCAGTAGAAACATGTATGGCCTTATAAATGCTAAATGTGACATTATTTGAAATTGTTTTTCTTCCCGTATTATCTAAGAAAAATTGCAGATGTCATACACTTTGAGTCGAATTTATTCAGGTAGCATACAGCACACTATGCATCGTCCTCAAAAGATTGTGAGAAGTGCGATTTCTCAAAGGATTTTACAAAATTTATCTGAAATTTGAAGTACATAATGGCTGCATTGTGGACACTATTTAATGAAATTAAGACCAGAAATGAGTGGCTGTACCAATTAATGACATCATTTTTCCAAAAAGGTCGCCCCGTGGGGATCCAGGTTAGAAAAGGTCCTCAGTACCCCCTTGCTTGTCGTAAAAGGCGACTAAATGGGGCGGTACTTCGGATGAGACCGTATAAACCGAGGCCCCGTGTCACAGCACGATAAAGATCGCTCCCTGCTCAAAGGCCTTAAGTGCCGAGCATAGGCCTAAATTTGCAGTCCTTCACCGGCAATGGTGACGTCTCCATATCAGTGAAATATTCTGGAGAGGGACGATAAACAGTATACAATCAATCAATCAATCCACAAAGGTCCCCCTATATGTGATAACATATAATTGTATGCACAGTTAAGCAAAAAAACTTGCCCGTAAACATTTACATTGTATCTTGAAGGTCAAATAATAATACAAAAAAGTAGAGGCACTATGAGCACTGAGCTCGCTAAATGATACCCTCACTCCAATATCATTATAATGACAAAGTCCATGTTTGCTCTGGGAGACCCGGAATTAGTGTCAGATCAAAGAGTAAAATAGGAGTTGAACTTGCAATAAAGAGTCTGACAAAGTCAATGATAGGGTAGCTGTAATAAGTAATTGTAATTTACTGTATTTAAATACATTTTTCAAGGTCATGCCAAACGTTATTGGTATGTATCATTGTCAAACACCCTATCATATTTAACTTGAAAATTAAGTAATTGACAAAATTATTAATGGAATTAAAATGCATTTAATTACATTTTAAGGTATTTCCATCCTAGGTTTTTGCAAAAACTTTTTAAAATTTAAATTAATATCCAATAGAACATTTTTTTATATAATATTGTTTTTCAATTGGTGTACACTGTACACTGTAATGATAAATATTGTTAAATAATAGAAGTTGAAAATGTATATTTTCATTATTTAACCGAGTATTCAGTCTTTATAAAAAAAAAAATGTTACAAGGGCAATAACTCCCTCTCAGATATCTTCATTCAGACATTTCCTTTATTGTACTTTTAATGTAAAATAGTTTCCTTTATATTCACATCTCAAAATTATTTTATGATTAGAAAGTATTTTGGAACTCAAAGTATCAGAATTATGCATTTGAACCAGTTTTTACATAATATTTACAATACTACATGTATTTTCAAAATTTAAAATTACGATTTTTTCATGTTGACATACACTTCTGTTTATCCATGTCTCCCGTCTTAAATAATATGGCGACCTATACATGTTTGCGATAATTGGTCAATTTAAATTATATTAAAGGAAAATAAATGCAGTTTTTGTACTATGAACTATTAAAATTGTGAGGGTGGATAAACCTTAAAGTAATTGAACCAAACCTTGGTGAATATTGTATCATTAAATTTTAGTTTAAAATTTATTTTATTCATTTGATTGGATTGAACAGCAGGAATGAATGCCTATGATCGTTCATCTCGAATTTTATTCAGTGCATAGAGAAAGTTTCTGAAAAAGATAGATACTATTTAGTATTATAGGAAAAAAATTATTCAATGTTTTGCCATTGAAATCCGATATATGAGTCTGATCAAAAATTTAAATAGGATGTCACAATTGCACTAATTTGTAACAAAGATTCTGACAAAATCTCATTAAATATCATTCAGTGGTTAGAGAGGAGTAAGAGAGGAGTTACTGATAGAGAAGGGTTACACAAAGCGTAACAGACGGCCGATTGTACGGACGTACAGACGAACATCCCGATTACTATATACCCTCCCACCCGTCAAGCCAAAGGTATGATATATAAAAGAAAAACTAACAACAATTCGATTGAAATTTTTAATACTTGACCAAATTGTATATCATACCTCAATACATTTACAAAAATAGTTAGAACATCGTTGCACTCTCGATACAATAAAATACTACTGATCAAAAGCAATGATTATTGCCATATTCTAAGTCCACAAAAGAAGAAACAGAACTGAAAATGCACGCTCTTTGACAGAATCTAGAATAATGATACAGTAACCACATTATAAACAATGCACAATTGATGAATAATTATACAATATTAATACTAATATACACAATCTTACATAATTGATACCAAAATGTAAATTT